GGCTCACCAATATCAGGACTGCTCGCCGAACTAGTGCTGCAGCGACTAGAAGAGGTAGTTTTCTAAACTATGAAGCCAAAACTATGGCTTCGCTACGTTATGACACATTTGTCATAATAAAGAGCTGGGAGGTTGAACGGCTTCACCAGAGCCTGAATGACGTTTTCCCAGCCATACCGTTTACCCGCAAAGAGGCAATTGGAGACAGCTTGCCGTTCCTGGACATGAGGATACAGAAGTTGAGCGATGGTTGCCTAGCAACAAGCGTCCATAGGAAAGGGCCTAATTCTGAGATTATCCTCAACTATGGAAGCAACCACCCTGCAGCTTACCAAAGAAGCTGGGTACGAAGTATGTTCCACCGGGCCTACCGTTATTGCGACAGCAACGATCTCCTGAACAAAGAGCTTGCTCACCTGTATCGGTTATTCCTCTCTAACGCATATCCGATCAGTTTAGTAAAGAACTGCCTTAGGCACCAGGCACAGTCGCAAGACCCCCGACACGAAACTTCTACTCTTTGCCATAATAGTTGCCCCACAGTTCAACCGCTTGAGTATTCATGTTGCCCACAAACCGGCATCTTCACTACGTGCAGCACTATCTCGAGTGAAGTGCCCCATCCCCAAAGAGCAACAAACGAATGCAATTTATCGCATCTCGTGCGCTAATTGCTCTTGCGTGTATTGTAGACCATACGGGTCGACGCCTGGGCACCCGTAACAATGAACACAATTTAGGCAGAATGGTATTACCGGCAAAGACAAGGGAGACTGGAATGGCCATTTCTGGCTTGTTAACCGTCGTCAGCCAGCCATAACCAAGCCCGAAGTGTGGAACACCCCAGCCTTGAACTCGCGAACTGTTGGTTTAGAAGTCCACGCCTGTACCCATTCTGCCTATATATCATGCGCCGCTGTGCGGCTGCTGGTTGGGCTCGAGAGAGCGCCCTTAAGGCACAACGGTACGAGTGAGTTCCGTATGAACGATCGGTGAGCGCCCCCTACCATTGAACACAAATTAGCCATCCGTCGGCGAGACCCCTGTCACTCGTCTTTGCCCATGCACTCGAGTACGACCACCGATTCAATTGGGATGGCAGTGAGATCGCCGCCATGGCTAACACAAAGCGAGCGAGGGAATTCCTCGATGCCTTGCAATCCAATGCGGGTAGTATCAACCGCCATGTTGACTAAGATGCCCATTACGAGGGTCTACGTTCACGACTGACTGTGCCCTGCCCTTATCACGCATCAACGACCGTGAATACAGCCGCCCGCATTCCAAATGATTCACCACCCACCCTCCCCCTTCAGCACAGTGTACCTTAGTTGTTCCGCCTCCTTTCTCTTACCACCCCTCACTCAGGGACCTACCATGACCTCGGCAGCCCCCCCCTCCTCAAACGTCAGTGGTTTTTTTGTCCTATCACATCAGCTGGTCTACTGTGACAACCTAACTTTTCTTCCATATTTACATTTCGCCTGACGACGGGTTGGTGTCACCAGCTCAAAAATTCACGAGTACAACTCAACTTTTGCAAAGAACGTCTTCTATTTTTCACATATATGAATATCCACATGAGTGAATTTTCAAGGTTCTTATAAATTTTCCTGTTCATCATCCCCAAAAGAAGACGAAGAAGAAAAGAGGGCGGTTGCATGGACCATGCTGTATTAGTGCTGACGTTTTAAATCTCCCTTGTTTCCATCATCAGATTATTGGGTTGTCTTTTCCTGTTGGCTCGGATTTGTACTGTCTCACAGCCTGCTTTGTGTAATAGGCATGCCTGACTCACGATCTCTGACCTGCCTTCTGCCTGGGGATTGGCTTTGTTTCCTCCGCGGGCGGTCGATGGCGCGTTCCTGTGACCTCTGCCCCCTGGCTGGCTGTCGTATTTGCAGCAAAATTCGTGTGCCCATGGGCCCTCTCCTCATAATCGGATGGACTGATCAGCTGCCGTTGCACCTGCGAATCACGCTCGGCTGTTTGGACGTGACGATAGAGCGATGCCTCGCGTTGGTCGTGTCACCTCCGGCTGGCTCATTCCCCCTGCTGTGAAGATGACAACCGTTGGAGGAGCAGCGACTCGCTCGCCAGTACTGTCGGCCCCGTCTGGACTGACAGGAGTCATGTAGGTAGCGCCTGGTAGGCCGGATGAAGATCAATAACCCTGTGATTTTGCTAAATGAGTACCAACTTTCGACGCCAGCCTGGTCATCTTGTCATGGGCTCAACACAGGACGCTTGCTTCCCAAAAAACGAAACTGTTTTCCTACTGTTGCATGTGTGCATATACGAGTGACAATCTATCGCCGCGTTTGACTGCAAGCTGGTGGTCATACAGTAGTGTGCAGAGGCATTTGCCCGTTTCACCAACATACCTCGCATTACAATTTTGACTCAGTATGCTGCAGACCACTGCTGATTGTTTTGTTGCCGGTAGCGGGTCTTTGGGTCTCATTATCCGCTGCCTGATGGTGAATTCCGGTTTATGGACCAGCCTAATCCCAAAAGGGTTTAGGATTCTAGCTGTCGCCTCGGAACCATTCCGCACGTAGGGGTCGCAAGCTAAAACTTTGGCTTCTCACCATCTGATCGCTGACGGGTAGTCTTTCATCCGCACTCACGTATGAAGGATCGTGGGTAACCATTGGCTGTGAATAAAGAATGTAGGTATTTTGCCTCCTCCTTTCTCCCGTCGTCGTTACTACAGTGTTTTTGAACCCGTTGGAAGTTAGTTCTGACACAACTTCGCTTGTGACCAATAGGGTGGTTACCTTGGAATCGGAGGATGAATCTGGTATTCGTCGCCTTACGGTATACTGTAGTTCTTATACTCCCACTAACCTTACTTACAACATTCCCGTCGAGTAAGGGCAATTGGCTGTTGTTCTCCTCTTCTACTGTAAACTGGATGTCGGGAAATATTGAGTTCAGTAACATCTTGAAATCCTGAAGGTCGGTCCTCTTGATTACGACGAATGTCTCGTCGACATATCTGGCCGAGAATTTTGGGGAGTACGAACGGAAGACCAGCCGTTTTAGCCTCTGCAGAACCGCCTCAGAAATCAACCCAGACAGGGGGATCCCATTGGTCTTCCCTTTTTCTGCCCGTAAACCCGGTCGCCGAAAGTGAAGAAAATTCTGAGGCACAACTCCAGGAGTTCACTGATATGCGTTCGCTTAAGTTGTTGATCAACTTCCTCATACATTTCCTTAAGAAGCCCCTCAATTGTACTGATTGCAACGCCGGCTGGAATGGACGTGAATAATGAGACCACATCGAACGATCATCTCATCTGGTTCTATTTCTAGGTTTCTGATGCTTCTCAGGAATTCTTCAGCCCACTTCACTGTCCATTCTGAGGCCTCGATGAGGAAACGAAAACGTTAGTAAAGCCATTTCGAGAGTCCAAAGGTCGGAATGCCGCGTAGGGAGACCATGGGGCGCAGGGGAAAACCTGGCTTAAGCACTTTTGGCAGGCAGTAGAAACGTGCCATGAGGGCATCTGTGGCTTTTTTCGCCAATGTCTCATTTACTTTGAGGGCTCCCGCCTTCGTCAACTTGTCTATCGCCCTGTTTACGCTATTCAAGTGCTTCTTGAACTCTCCAGTCTCCGAAAGCTCATAGGGTCATTCGTCCTCAAACAGATTACAGTTTCGTCGTGTAATCGGTTTTATCCATGGCAACAGTCGAGCGTCTTTTGGCGGCGGGCATGGTGACGATATCCCTCATTTTCCGAATTCTCAAAAGCTCTTGGTCTTCAGTTTTGGAAATCACCCTGTGGGATTTGTGCCGGAGGAGAAGGATTGACACATGTTGCCGCATGTAATTTTTGCGTTCTTCGTTTGCCTCACACTTCTGGAGCGCTGATTAGAAGGATGCGATAAAGTCTTCTGGTCGAGCATATCTCGTGTTGAATTTAGTGTCATAGGTCAAAACCGCCAGCTGTTACTGCGTGAGATGACGAGAGGAGAAGTTGTGAACCAGGACACCATCAGAAGGGGGCCGCATTTGTGGATTGATTCTTTCGAACTTCTTAAGCAGTTGGCTGTTGCGCAATCTGCGTTGGCAATGTGCACTACTGAGTACTGACGCCATAAGACGCGTGGATTTTTCTTCTTGATTTTCGATGTCGACAAAAATTCAGACGCATTTTAGTAAAATGCATAACATATTTATTTGTTCGCCTGTTTGGAAGAAAATTCGATTTTAAATACCTCCTTGATTCCCGTATAACATCGAAATAAACCTGTCGTTACGCTTGCACCCTGGGTTTCGAAACTTAAAGCGGTATGTCTTCCGTGTACTTTCATTAAGGATAAAGTCTAAAGAAAACGTAATTTATATCATTTAAGCAAAATAATTAAAACATCTATGCAAATTTTCATGAGATCTGTTTTACTTTTAAAGGCCATCGAGGATCAATTTGAAAAATCACACTAATTAAGTAGTAATTGAAAGATTGAATTTTTTGGCACCGGAAAAAATTACTCCAAAGCTGTCATCCTCATAAAACTGGCTCATCACTCGTGCATCGTGGATGTTAAATATTTTACCTCCACCTTTGAGTCCAGAGCACCTTTTAGAATTAAGTTTAGTATTTTATAAATTAGCACGCCCACGTTAGTTAAGGATATATGGGTGATTAAAAGGACGTCCTTGATTCGGAGAGACATAGTGAGAGCATGTTAATGGCGAAATGTGCGAATGACTGACTGCATGTTCATAAACAGCCAAACAATTATCTTCAATAATTTTGGTCTATTTGCACATATGAGGCTCATATTCCACAACTCAGTTAAAAAAACTCCTTTCCTAGACTCTTTACGCATACGCGTATTCACTAGCCTAAATGGCTTTCGATCTCTCTTTGCTGTCAAATTTTACGATAGGTGGTGTGCGTTAACTTGATTTGGCTTTTGCGCGATCATTGGTTTAGAGGGTCTATATATAAGGAGTATTTTATGCCTTCTGTGAGCGCCTCCGTCTGGAAATGTTTCGTCAAATACTCTGTCTGATGCTGGCATATGGCACTTTTGGGCAAGGTAGCCAGTTTATCAACCTCCCATTTTTTCAACCCGACTTGTGTATCCGATTCTGCGATTTACTGGGGAAAACTGTTACGTATTGTGCATTTCATTACAGGTGCTGGGTCCGAATTTGAGGTTAAGGAGAACAGTGATTATGTGTTCGCTGCATTGGTGGATTGCGACTACAAGGTACGCATTTGAGAGAGAGAGAGGAGTGCTTTATTTTGAAAATAACCTTCAAAACTTTTAAATTTTAACTGAACTAACGCAGATGTTGGCTTTTCAGTACGCGACCGTGGACGGCGTTAACATTTCGGGTCCGGCAGACGGTTCACACTGCGTCCCGCCAAATGACTGTTGGGAAATTGTTGAATGTAAGTTGCAACCGTTTGTGATTTGTGTCGCCTAACCTAAACTTGCATGATCAAGGTAGCATGATAAGTAAGTAACCAGAGTAGTTGGCATACCGAAAGGGCTAATGAATCTATGCATCAGCTCATTCCCCGTCTTCTAGTTCTTCTCACCGTTTTTTATAGCTTCTTATGTTATCTTCTGAAATGCATGCATATTCATTATACATTTTAAGGCTCTTCAAATCAATTGATATGACAATTTTTCATCTATCTAATTTTCTACATCTTTGCATTTGATATCAATTTTTTCTCCGTAAGCCAAACGAGTGGTAGTCGCCGAAGCTCGCACGAGAGGAGAGCATATAGCATTTGTAGTGCAACCCATGGATTCAAACACCAGAAGTCCAATAACATTTCAGTACAGAACCTATGGAGCGCCTGACGGTAAGTTTTGGATATATTTTCTCTTTAAATATACATTTACAAATTTACAGTTTGGAAATTTCATTTTTGGCGTCAAATAGCACATATTGGGCAAATTCGTCGATTGTTATAGGAGGTTTCTTAATTCGTCCAGCGGCCAGACAGCATTTGGCAGGCCATTTGTGTTCCTTAGTGATCAATAATAGACAAGGTTTTTAAAAGAAGTATAAACAAATTTATCTTTTTGTGACATTGATAGGATTGCGACCTTCTTGACTAATCTTCGGCACTTTATTCTATTTTCTATAGCTCCAGTGCTGAACGTCGAAACAGGATCTGTCATTGTAAAGGAAATCCAAAAGAATGAACACTTCTTTCATGCCATACTATTTAATGCGGATATCGGGGTAAATGACAAAAATTGCCTAAATTTTCACCAAAAGCGCAAAATCAAAGGGTCTTTTTAAGAATGCTTATTAATTAGAGCATATTGCGTACAGTTTTCGTTGTAAATGTTTGATGATGCATTGTTAGCCTTCATAGCGTGATTAGGAAACGCCAGGATCTGGGCATTAAGTAGGAGAGATATCAAATAAATCTATATAATCCAAAATGGCTTGATATTTAGATAGACAGTATTCAGTTCAGGACCTGTTTATGGACGCACAAACAGTAGTCGGCTACTATTACTATTTTTATATTCAATATTTTCATTTTAAATCGATAGACTAAATCCGTGTATTTTGTTTATAGACATGACTGTCGAACTGTACATTGTTATTCGCAATATTTTGTTAAAATGAATAACGTTTTCAGCAGTGTGGCCAAAATTATTCGTTTTCAACATTTTAGAACATAACTGCCGTCGGGGACTTAGCCGGTAGCGGTATGGTTCTACATCAACTATCTACCGTACTGAGGCGTGGTACGAAAAAGTGGTTCTGCACTTACGAATATTAAATAATTCTATAGTAGCCGATTTCGAACTGAGGTTTCATAATAACCATATCTTAACACATTTTTTTGTTTGTAGGAGTGGTGCATGAAAAGGTTATACTTATTACGGGACATTTGGCAACCATGCCACGAAAGATGGAAGTAAAGTGTCAAAACGTCCCTATTTCGCGGATTTTGATAAAACCGTCCAATGAGACCAGTGTGATGATGAGAATGCTGACGTTCATCGATTATGTGAACGCTTTCAAGTTGCAGTAGAACTGCCTTCAGTTCATACATTTGATATTTGCTCTGGATTCGTCTTTATGAACCAAACTTTAATGCGTGGTTGTGGGTATTTGCCATTTCACTATGTCATAATCAACAGCATGTAAATTTGACTTTCCTGTTTTTTTGCGCTATTTCCAAACAGCTGGCGGTAAACGAAAGCACCGTTTTATAAACACTGCATAATGTTTAAGAATCGTGCAATGGCCAAACATTCAAAACCGAATAATCAAATACTAAAATGATTGGATAGGTTTGGAGGTACTTTGTATCCCAGAATGTTGCACGTAACGTTTATATCTTGCGCAGAATAATAAATAAATACGTTGTCTATGCATTCGAGTATGACTGTTCGTGGTGGATCGTCTGAGTGCGGAGATACGTCCGCTTATTTGTGCCTTGCATATGCCCTTCAGTTGATCTTCAAAGATGTGCTTATTTGGTGACCGCAGTCTGGATTAGCATCATGGGTAAAAGACCCGGTTCTCAAAGCTTTAGCCAATGCCACACTATCACGTGGGGTCTACTTCGACAATCTTTCAAGGCTTTCCTATTGAGTCCTCCGCCGTCATCACTTAGATGTAACTATCTTCCAGTCGCAACGCTTCCTGTTTCCTGCAAAGTAGTCTTATTTCGTACAGCTATCCTAGTGTGGGAGAGCCCTAGACTACCCACTACCGCTAACGTGTTCTAATGCACCGTTTTAACATGCCTGCATTCCTTCGTCCTTCTTGTATTCACGCAGCTTGTGTCGTGCATTCATACCCTGCTGTCCAGAGCGGTTAGTCGCCCTAGGCAGTATGAGGCCCTAAGGAGTTACTATTACTCTCTGGGGACAGTATATCGCGTATTCAATACATAAAGGTAAGGAAAGTTTTCGCACAAATTAGTTACTCGTATATACACACAGTTCTCGGTCGTTGAGGTAGCACAAATAATGCGTGTCTCAATAATGGCGTGAAAATGCCCCAGACAGGTTCGGCCATTGTGTGGCCACCATGCGTAGGCATTCTTCTAAGGCCTATGTCAGCTTGTGTTATTAGGATCTAAGAAACATCCTTAGATGCTTAACATGTTCATATAAACTATCTCTGATTGTGGGCAAGACACTCGTGTGGGAGGGCAAATGGCTTTGAAAGGTGTCGCTGACAGTATATTGTCCTCACGCATTTCCAGATCCTTGCCATGTTTCATCATTTGGCATTAAGCATAATGTCTGATGTGCCATGCATGGTATTCACCGAGTTCAGGGGAGACATTCAAACATAAATAATTTGTTGATGACAAATGATTTACGGAACTACGATCACCTGTCCGCCTTATCAGCTAGTAGGCACAGTTATTAACGTATTCCACAGTTAAGAGTCACAGTCAAAGCAACTATGTCGAAAACATGCAAAATGCGTTTGGTCAGCAGACTGTCACAAAATGTCCAATAAGCTAACGCAAAAACAATCTAATGCATGTCAATGCGAACACGTCTGATTATGGTGGCGGCGGGGTTATCAGACAGAACGATTCAGAAGGCAACATCTTACCCTTTGATGCATGGTGTATGATGACTACCAAGTAAAAGCTAATCCTGCAGACACATTAATTTAAAAAATATTGATAGTCATCTTCGCACGCCGAAACCTCGTTATATACTTTACGTCAATCATTTCGGTCTCCACACTAGTTGTCAGACACTACTGATACAATAAACAACATCAGGGCGTACGGCAGTACCAGAGAATGAACCAAGATCAGTGTTACGGTCGTCCTGAAATATGACTTCACAATGCAGTTTATTACAAATATACGGTTAGAAGCTCTAAACACCTGAACGTTAACAACGAAAATCAGGATGATGTGGTGATGGTCCCGGCCCCATGCTACAATACGGCGAAGAGTTAACATATCAATTGACAGGCAGAAAGTGTGGCTAGGACAGCGTTCTTTTCGAAGCAGTTATTCAAGTAAAGATAGTGAGCGTAGATATATGAGACACTTTATTAGACAAAAAAGAGCACATATTGCTAATCGACAATTGTATAATACCTGGAGGTTGAGTACTGATTTTCGTAACACATTGCCGAGCATCTTATCTGTGGACCACCTTTTCGGAATCTAAGCATGACAGGCACGTCGCAGGTTGCCCGAATTTTGGTATATTTGCCGTAAATTGGCGAAAAAATGGAATCGTTTGTTCAAATCTGTCGTCTATGTGGATATGAAACTATGGAACCGCCAAAGGTGCCCCTATGATACCACCAGCGCTAACGAAGCCACGGAGTCCATACGGGCCGCGCTGACCGTTTTTTAAATCAAATGTTAATAAAAACTGACGACACATATTCACTGTCGCTTGAAGTTTCCGAAGTCGCTATATACACCGATAATACCATAGATGCAGCTTTGAGATGTTTTTCCAAACCACATCCTTCAGAGCATTTTTGACGGCCAACGACACAAAAAATAACACTTAATCCCTCTAAACATTATAACATAGGTATATCCATCAATATTACTTTTCTCATCTAGCGGTATATCAGGACGCGTATATGGCACTTTCGAGATAACATTACAATAAAGGTGTTACACGTGTTTTTTTGTCTACATGTCAACTATCGAAAGCGTTTTATGGCGCCCACAAACGCGTAGACCATTGTTTGACCGACATCTTGCCGTCCAAATGACGTGCACAAAATCTGATCTCCCATTTAGCCAACAATCGGAACACCAATTTCCCAACCGAGAGTAAATGTATTTAGAAGGCACGAGAAAGAGAACAGGCCGTTCGATTACGACTGGAACTAAATCGGCTGCCGGCCGTGCACTCACAATTTCTCCAAGGGCATTCTCGGACAGAAAATGCCATTCCACGACCACCACGAAGAAAAGCCCGAACGTTATAGAGGACTGAGAGCTTCAGATAATAAAAGCGATTTAAAAAATGTCAAAATAACGTGCAGCAATGCAAATGTAGTTTTAAAATCGGCATCGCCTTGACCTTCACAGTCATGTAGAGAAATAATTATGAAGAATAGAACAGAGACGGTCCGGTAAAAAAATATAATTCCACACGTTTTACTCCTTGCGAGCACGAAACTATAGGTCAGCATGGGAAAATGAACAAGATAATTTTTTTTACTTTTTGAGATAGTCGTGCAAAGCGAGTAACTAAAAAGAAAAAAGGTACCCGTTTTCAACATTTTTTTCTAATCACGTTGATCCGGGAATACACGAAATTGCGTCATCTTTTAAATATTTAATGAGTCGAAAAAAGTTGCATGTTAGGCTGGTCGCCTGACGATAGATAGAGTTATTTAAGTAAAACAAATAGCACACCGATGATCGATAACATGACATTATCGACATATATAGGAACATATATGTTATTCTCAAGTGAAATACAATCTAGTTATATTTCCATGTGTTAAGTAAATTGGACTTTCATTAAGATGAACAGCAGATACATCAACGGACACCAATGTCGTTTAAGGGGATGTCAAATAATGATAGATAAATAGTCTCCCTTTCATACTCGACTCAGCAGACATTTATTCTTAACAGGGAAAAACGTTCACTATGGAATGGGTAAAATTCCATATTTCTGACCGCACCTTGGTTTCCAAGCAATCAGTTGCAGGATATACCTTCACTGAAATCCAGAAAGGCACATTTATCTTTTCGCCAAAATTTGAGCACACGTTTCTGCTTGTTTTACCTCCCCGCGGATCGGCTTCGTTCTGAACTTCAAGTGTACACATTAAATCGTCCCGTCTCTCTCTCACAGTCGTACTATTGTGATAATTAAATGGTTCATTTGAAGGCGTGGTATGAGTTACGTTTTGGTGGACATCCACTTGATCCTGCCTACTAGGGTCATCACGCCATGATAAATCGTATTGCATAAACATTTCTATTATTGCACGCTCTTTCTCCTACATGCGACTAACCTCTAAGGTTCAGGAAAATTGTAGTCATTCGATTAGAAGACGCCTGTTGTTTTCTCTAAAGGCCATTATGACATGCATATACCAAGGCCTGAACGAGTATCATTTCGTCGTTTCTACAGTGAAATTTAATAAAAGCGAACGAAGGACGGCTATAGCGCATCCTCCTTAGGATCGATTACGTTTTTACGCCCATCCTGTTCTGTTGGTCGAATATTTGGTTTATTTAATGCACTTGCAACATATGGAAAGGCTTGTTGTCGGTGTCTGTTGACCCAACCTTAGGGCGTCCATCTTGTATAGCATGGACTTGTGCATAGATCAGTTTGTGTGGCGTTTTCACTTTTAAGATGAATTGATGGCTTTCCTTTCACGGTTTATGTTTGCGGATTCGAATATATTGAATGATGAATTGGCGACTTCAAGAAGTGTTAAACTGATATGGTTCATTTGTCCGCTAAGAAACACAAAAGAATACCCTATCAGAAATATGTGCACTTTGAATAAAACCTTTATGACTGCGGCACTGAAAGTTTTGCGCTTGCAGGTTGACTGTGTGCATATACTAGTCAATTGCTATTGAGCACATTATCGGCATGCGAAATATACACAGGCCATAGAGTCACAAAGGACGTTTTGTGTTGGGGGCCCAAACAAGGCGGAATATTGTCAGATGAATGGTTTGTCACTCAAATTAGATTTTAATAACAATTGCACTTCCCGCAAAAGGACTGCGCGTCAGCCTATCCGGGCTTGGCCAAATGTCTAGTACCAACCAGGAAATATGACGCCGGCCGG